TCTGTGTATTCATGATTATAGTGGAGATCTCTCTCGATTTTCACATAGCAACCCTCATCGAGGATTACATTGGTATATGTACAACTTTGAGATATATTTATTTTGATTATATTTGATAACAAACTATTTAAAATTTTAGTTCTCGCTTTAATTAGTTATTATTTTGATTAGATTGGATAACAAACTATTTAAAATTTTAGTTCTTGGTTTGATTAGTTTGACCATCGGCTGATCCAAGTTCTAACGATAACAATAAGTTTCGTTCCTTAAGAAACTACTTTAAAAATTTAGTGTCCGAAATATTTTTTTATTAAGAAAAAATTAAGGCTTCAACGATATATATTGATTATGTATTTATTTATATTTGTATAAGAACAAATAAGATACTCTAGAAAAGGAAAAACAAAACAAAAAGAAGTATGGAACGGGGATGAAACGGAATGGAGAACAGAGACATGGACGTTCATTCACGGAAAAGGCAAACCAGAAAAGAGGACGGAAGAGGGAAAACAAATACGCTGTCCAGAGAACGAAACATAAAACGCGGTTACAATGCGGCGAACCTTTGTTACTAATGCATCCGAATATGAAAACAAATCGGAAAAAAATATGTAACCGGTGAGGACTCAGCTTTGGTTCCTAACGTCGGAAAAAGTAAAAGTCCGAACGCTATCAGGAAAAACAGAAAAAAAAAATAAAAAAGACCAAAAATAAGAAATTCTTGATAGTTTAATATCAGAAGTAGATTTCTACTCTTATCCTTATGTATTTGATTAGAATTCCTAGCTATCCACGTTATCTAAAGAAGCCCGGCATACGTCACCTATAAAATAGGAGTGTTGTCATGTAGATAGTCGAATAGATAGATAGATATATAGCTTCCACATTCTATAGTTAGTTAGGGGATCGTGAACGAAAAAGATGACTAGAAATTTTGTCTCTTTATTATTAGCGAGGACTCTGTGGAGCTAGCTAATTAAGGACGATGACTGAATCTTGGTTAAGGACGATGACTGAATCTTGGAGGTGGTGGATCGAAGGTATTAGGGGTGTGGCAAATAAAGTGCAGCCACGCAAATAATTAGGATATAATTAAGCAGAGCAGAAGAACAAATATAGCAACGAAACTAGTATAACGCGGATGGGAAGGTAAGCTAGCTAGCTAGCTTGGAGCGAGTATATTCTATCCCTGTTTGTGGCAGTTAAGTTAGTTGGTGCGTGTGTAGAATGGCGACCCATGCACGCACGGAAGCACTAATCTGAAAAGTTAGCAGGCCAGGTGACGACGCTTGCGTTACACATTTAATTTGCAGTGCTTTGATGTGCTTTGCATGGAGAGAAGAGAGGGGCATGGAAGGAATATATATAGAATAGGGTCGTCCACAAAGTAACCAAATCAAGAGAGTAGAGGTACTGGTAGCTACTCCATCCGTCCTATAATATAGCGCATTCTAGCATTCGAAATTTATCCTCAAATATAAGACATTCTAGAAGACAGAAACCCATTTTGCATTAAATAATTTTCATTTATAAGCCAATCATCACTAATCATGTTGATAATAGCGTCTTTTTAGGAAATAAAGTAAAGGCGCATACATCTTTTATGTTCTCTCTTAATTTGTTCTAAAATTTCTAGAATACACGAAGAGGGAGTAGATAGTACTAATAATATTGAAAATAATAATGGTACGTAACAGCAAACAAACGGCCTGCATTTCGAATCCTGTAGTAGTAATTTGCATGCTCAAACATGTTAGTAGTAAATTTGCAGGTGGATGCTATGCCTCCGATGCGATGCGATGCGATGCGATTGGGATTATCCTTTCCTTCCCATGAATAATGCAGCAATTGCCGGCCGGCCTGCTGCTGCTTTTGCGTTTGCTTCCTCCCCCCGTTGCTTGCATTGCATGCAATGCATTTGCACTGGTTGCGTTGCGTGCACTGTTATATTTGTCCCTATTTATTAATAATCGGCCGGGTTGAATAACGGGGAGAGGAGTCCGCCGGCGATGCATCACACGCCGTTGTCCTTCGTTCTTCCCAACATATGAAGCCATCGAGATTGAGCAATTCCGATCGGCCCCGCAAGGAATAAACGACATGTATATATATGCTTGTAGCTTGTTCTATCTATCTGTCTATCTATGTCCGTCCATTAACGGCAACTACTCATGAACATGATCGATCTGCTTTGCCGCCAGAGCATCAGACATTGCTCAGCTTTATGAGCTTCTTCTTCCTCTCTTCTTCTTAGCTTGCACCGTTTGCATTCCTCGTCCTCTAGCTAGAGGAAAACGTGCGCAAACAAAGCACTTGTTGCTTGATTGCGTCCCAAACTCGATCGATCCATCTGAGATATATAGGTAGCCAGGCCAGACCAGCAGCAGGGAGAGGAAGAAGAAGAGAAAGATCATTCATTCCTTCATTCATCGAGAATAAGATCGATCGAGAGAAGAAGATCGAGCTAAGAAGAAGCCGCTAGCACGTAGCCAGCCAATCAATCCATCGACATGACGACGGCGATGAGAGAGATCGTCTTCTTCGACGTGGAGACGACGGCTCCGACGTCGGCGGGGCGGTGGTGGCTGCTGGAGTTCGGCGCCATCCTGGTGTGCCCCAGGAAGCTGGTGGAGGTGGACAGCTACGACACCCTCATCCGCCCGGGCGACCTCTCCGTCGCCGTCACCAGGCGATTCACGGATGTCGAGGCCATCGCGTCGGCGCCGCCCTTCAAGGACGTGGCCGACAAGATATTCCAAATCCTGGACGGTAAGCAGCTAGCGTCGTTGTTTCTTGTTTGTTGCTGCTATGGGTTGCATCCAGCGTGTGTGGCAGATCCATGACTGAAGAATGCAAATGCAAATACATACGTCCAGGCCGCGTGTGGGCTGGGCACAACATCCAGCGCTTCGACTGCCCTCGCATCCGCGAGGCGTTCGCCGACATCGGGCGCCCCGCACCGGAGCCCGCCGGCGTCATCGACTCCCTCAACGTCCTGGCCGCGGACTTCGGCCGCCGCGCCGGGGACCTCAAGATGGCCACACTCGCCACCTACTTCGGCATCGGCAAGCAGAAGCACAGGAGCCTGGACGACGCGCGCATGAACCTCGAGGTGCTCAAGCACTGCGCCACCGTCCTGCTGCTCGAGTCCAGCCTGCCCGACGTCCTACGCACACAGCAGGCTCGCCAAGCCGACGGCGCCGCGGTCACCAGGAGGATGGCGGCGCAGGCGCAGACCATCACAACGGCGCCTGCGACGACGACCATCACTTCCCCCTCATCTTCCACGACGCCGCCACCTAAACATGCTGTACACCACCACCGGCCCGGCGTCTTGACGCAGACCAAGCTGCCGTTTACCCCTGTGCGCCACCAAGCGCCGCCACGCCCGGCGGGACCAGCAACTAAACCTGCACCTACGGCACCCCCCACCCCCTGCGGCAAGCGGAATAGCCTGGGCAAGATGGTGGCAAGGGCCGTCGCCCAGCAAGCTGCTGCTGCTCCAAGCGCAAGCAGGCGCCCGGTGACGGCGACAGCGACGACGCCCTTCCACATGATCCTCAGGCACTCCAGGGCCATCCTCAGATGATCCATCTTTCTTTCTTCTTTGGATGATCAGTGATGATGGATGCTTATTAGCTAGCTACGGAGAAGAAGAAGATGGAGTTGCCAAATTATTATTGTTTCGGCTGAAATCTGCTTTCTCCTATAGCTCAGCGAGAATGCACACTATTACTACTACCAGACTGAAGATTCATCGACTAGCTAGCTAATTGGATTCATTCAATTCATTCCTAGCTAATTGGATTTCATTCCATTCAATTGTACAGTTCATCGATTTGATTTCATCCACGCACCTTAGTTTAACTGACTCCGTCAGATTTAGTTGTTCTACTTGTACATAGTTTGGTGTTGTATAGTTAACATAACATGTCATTCGACCACTTCATTTGTGCAAGAATAATTGATTCATTTGTATAAATTACTCTGAATAATTCTTTCAAGTGCTCTGTTCTCGGTCTGCATAATTGTTTCGAATGCTCAGTTCTCGGTTGCACATACGTGAAGGATTCCAGTTTGGGATTAATTGTTGCAAATGCTCTGTTCCCGGTTGCACATACGTGAAGGATTCCAATTTGGACCGGCTGATATTCCTCCCTCCAAGAGTGTCATCTAATACAAACATGATCCGTCGACGGTACCAATAACCAACAGATTATTCCATCTCAAAGCCTACGGCATCACCAGTCAGATACACGGAGCCTGTTCGCTGGTTGGTTTCTAGGCTGATAAACCCGGCCGGTGCTGGTTTGTTATGAGATAAAAACATTGTTGGCTAACTGATAAGCCCTGGCTAAAACCAACAAGCGAACAGGCTGATAAACCACACATATGCAGTTGTGCATATCACCAGTCAAAAATGCGCGGCACGACAGAAAACGACTAACAAGAAGACCACCCGCTTTCAAGCTGCTCTCTCCCTCTTTGGGAACAACTCCCTCCGTTCCAACTTACAAGCCCTTCTGGCTTTTCTAGGTGTCTAGAGAAGTCAGAACTTGTAATTAAGAACAGAGGGAAGAGGGAGTACCATTCTTGCAGCATCCTCAGAAGCCTCGCAAGTGAAATAACAATGAGAAGCATGGTAACATAACTGAAGATGCATTTCAATTTACATCCAAATGCATGACGGTATTTACAGACACCGACATATGGACCCATCCAACCTTACTACATTTAGCAGACACATACAACATCTAGTACATACACCGGACACCTTGATCTATATTTACATCCGAGAGCTATGCTCCCTTCGATCATGCAGTTTCAAAAGCCACAATCACAAGGGGCACCAAACGCTCTGACTCGACTCCCACTTGACTCTTCAATGAGCAGCTAGCAGCTTATATAACGAAAGAAACTAGTTATATCCTCAGCTGGGCAGCGAAAATGTACAGGTTGCGGGGTAGCAAAACAGGGTTAGGTAGGGTCAATGCGGATCATCAGGCAAATGTAACTGCACAGTGAGGGGGCTCTTTGTTCCCGCAAGCAAAACCTTCGATTCTTACTTTCGGGCTGCTGGCCCCGCAGGTCGGAGAACCTACTTCAACTCTTCCAGCTGCCATTTTTCCGAAAGAGCTTCCTAAAGGAGAAAAGGATGGTGTTTTCTTTCCAAACTGTGGGTCATTGATAACAGGGTTGTTAGTGCGTGCAGGAGGTGAGCCACAGAAAAAGGCCACCTGGCTGCTTGAATCAGTATCCACATCAGGGTCATTCTGAAAGAAGAGACAGAACTGGCCATCATAATCCAGAAGAACAACATGCTGCAATACAGCACGCACAGCCTACTTAAATACCAAAAAAACATTGATATGGCAGCATACCTTGCTAAGGATGAGATCAACGATATCACAAGTGGGGTCTGCTCTATACAATGGGAGTGCCCTGCAATCGCAGAACACAAACAGTGTCAGCAAAAGGGCCAGTCATATGCTTGGCTACAGCAATTATCGAGAAATTCTAGCATTCCCAGAAAAAACATTATGAAGTGATCTGAAATGTGGCAGGCAAAACACATAATCTTATCCAACTAGTACATGTAACCGCATTCGATGTTTCTTAAATGTGGACGAGTGCGATTGCAACGGATATCTGTCTATCAACAAATTTATGGAACAGCACATGTAACACTAAATAACGTCTATTGCCTTTTTTTTTTTGCCGCTATATGCACATGTTGCTGACGGAAGCTTGTAAATGTCATGCGCAAAATCCTTGCCCCCATAAGTACTTCTGTTTTGTCGCCACATGTAACACTGTCTGCTTTGTCCGTTAATGCTCAGCTTGTGGCCCCCAAGCTTATGTGAACGGATCTCTTGAAACATATGACGTTACATTGCATGAAAAATCTGGCGCGAAACAATAATACTATATCTGCTGCCCTTACTTGGAGCATACGCAAGAGACGGACTACCGATTGGCCTTCCAGATCTAGCAAGTATGCAGGCATTCAAAAATACGCAAACCTAAGCCCTAGCAATTGGCGCTCAAAACCTAGCAAGGATGAAAGTACATACAAACATGCAACATATGGCCTACCAGTTGGCGCTCAAAATCTAGCAAGTATGCAGGCATACAAAAATATGCAAACCTATGGCCTACCAGCTGACGCTGAAAATGTAGCAAGTATGCAGGCAGCAGGCATACATGCATATGCAAACTATGAGGCAGGTTCAACAAATTTTTATTCAACGTCAGTATGGTGCATGTAAATCCGTGGTGGATAGAGGAGAGTGAAGAAAGAACTAACCCGTTAGACTTGGGGCTGGGCCAATTGAGGAGATGTGGGCGGGAAGGGCGGCAAGGAAGAGGGCAGATGATGTCTATACGAGGCGCAGGCTGCACATCCGTCTGCCAAAACCTTGACCTTCGGTCAGGCATTGGTTCAGCCCTGGAGATCTGGTGGGCGGCTCCGGCGCCAAGCCTCATCATGTGGTCCATGCCCTCGGCAGAGGTGATTGTTGAGCAGCGGCTGGATTGACAACAAATTTTCAGGGAGGAACAGAAGAAAGCACAGATGAGGTATAAATTCAACCGACAGAACACAGGTCAAATTACAGAAATTAACATAGACTTGCGCTAGCCTAGTTCTACAGATTTATTAAACTTCCAGGGTGTGGCCCCAAAACAACAGGTCGTGTCCAACAAAACACATGTCTTCCTCTTTGATTCGATGGAAGCAGCACTTAAAAGCAGAACGCCTAGCTACCTCTTACTGATCCTCGTTTCCACAATTCATCAGCTTGCAATGAACTAATATGCAGAATTCATCTATGAGAAAATCTTCCAACACAAACTTAATACCGGTTCCATAATCCATACATGCACATATGATGAGATTACAAGCTAAAAATATTTGATAACACAAGATCAGATAGGCAGACATTCATCGGTGGTCGGTGGTCATGTAACAAGATGCACACTGCGCAGGGGCACATCCGATATTTTTTGCAAAAGAAGTCGAAGTTAATAGTAGGCATGACGCTAGATGTATGCTGCATAGAGTTGCGATTGGATCAGATCCGAATAGGAATAGGCAAATAGCTTAAGTTAGGGTTTGGGAGCTCGGTTTCGCACAGCAGGAAGGGAACAGAAGGGGTGGGTGGGCATACGCATACCTGGTGGCTGCTCGGCGCCGGCGAAGAAGACCTGGGCGCCTGGTGTAGAGCGGCGACGGTCGCCCAGGCAGGCGTCGCAACGAGAGAGAGAGAGATGAAGGGAAGAAGGCCTGAAGGGGAAAAAGCAAGGCGAGAAGAAACGAAAGGCAGGTGCAAGGGTGAACCTGGGCTGGGCTGGGCTGCCTTTTCGTAACTGGGCCGCAAGTTTGTTTTGGGCATATACAAGCCATCAATCCCTTCCTCCCTGCGCATGGTTGATTGGTGACGTGGCAAAAAATTTGTCACCCGTCATGACGAGGTGCGTGCCCTCTACCACCATTGTTAACCGTCAGCACCCTGCGATCGACAATTGCCTCGCCTTGTCCTCTTCCTATGATCCATGGCGCACCACGGCTCTTCTTCCTTCTCTATGGTCATCTTAATTTCCATCTTCCTACGCCTTGGACCCATCCTTCCAGTGTCGTGTCTTGCTCTACGGCTTTATCTTCAACTCACAGCACCAGCAACAGCCACCGAGATGCTAAATACGACGTGTCGTCTCCAATCAATGCATTGATCTCATGTTGCCAGCATGTTACCAGGAGTTGAGATCACAAACAATTGACGGATGTGTCTCATATGGCAGTCATAAGTACGAGACATTTGGAGTTTTTATTATAATTGGAAGCATTTTTAGGACGGTCGGGAACAAGGCAACCCTTGTCTGGCCTTTGAGGCTCTACACTTAGAACTATTGAGGGGTTGCCCTTATAGGTGAAAATATTCCTGTCCATAAACAAAAGTGCTTAGGATTAATTTTAGAATATCCGATTCATCCTCCCCCTCATGCCAAATAGCCCCCTAGGCCTCGGTCACTCGCATTCCTTTCCGCACCGTCGTCGTGGTGGTTGTCGTCGCAATGGCATAATGCCAAACTTAGTATGAGTTTCATCTGTATTTAACAGGTTGTCATATAAGCATTTCTAATAGCATGATAACGTTTTAAGAGGAGAGAAAATAAGTGAGATTCATATAGATGAGACTCTCTTGGCTACATTTCAAACTCTAAATAAGTCATAGAATTAAATGTTTGTAAAATATTAGAACGAAGGTATGCATTGAGGGTAGTTATTTCATTAACGTTTTAATGCATTCTATCAGATGTGGCATTCTTGAAAAACTACAAACAGCTCCCGAGAAAGGATCTGATGGGGAGATGCACCTAGGATTGTTTTATGGTCCGTAAGGACACCTAAAAGGTCTACAAATCTCAATGGGAAACTTATAGAATATCAAGATATGGGCCTTGTTATTAAGGGTCGTCTAGGCGTCTGGGTGGTTTTCAAACCGAGGCGTTGGGCATGCCATGACTTTGCCGTGTACGACGTCGCCTCAGGCGCCAAGGCATCGGCTGGGCGCCGCACGTGTGGGAGAAGGTAGTGCGCGCACGAAAAGAGAGGGAGTCGCACGTGGGAGGAAAACGCGCATGCCGAAAAGAGAGTGTGGGAGGGAATCGCGCGCGGGAGGGAATCGCATGGCGCACCTATACCTCTCCCGCAAGCGCCACATCAAGATTCCATGTGATTTGAGAGAGGAGAGGGGGAGAGAAACAGGAGAGTGGGGGAGAGAAGAGGGCAGCGGGAGAACCTGGACCCCCCCCCGCCGCCAGCCTGCCTCGATCTGCCGCTTGCCTGCCTCAATCTGTGCCCCTGCCCCTCTACTCTTCGATTCGTGACTACTCCAACATCCGCCCATTATCCGTCCTCAACTCCTTCCTCTGCTCTGCCTCTCGGCCAGCGGTTCACAGCATAAAGTACATCTTTTCAATCCTCCCCCTCGTTCCTCTGTTCTTTGTTCCTCCTCGTTCCTCTGTTATGTGTTGCCCCTCGTTCCTCTGTTCTTTGTTGTGGTCTTCTCCTTCCTTTGCTTGGGTAATTAGATCGGTGCGTATATACTGGATTCCTTGGTAGCTTGCTGCTTTGTTATGTCATTAGAGTCTAATCTATTGCTATTGAGAGGAGAGATTGTAGATTTGCTATTTTGCCAATTTATGTTGTGCACCAGTACTCAGCACTACTTATTATGGTATTACATGCTAACAAATTGTGGTATTAAAGTTTAATTTGCTTCTAAATTCTAGTGACATTATATACTAAGGTGTTTGTATGGTGTCGCCTCGCCTCGTGCCTAAACGCCTAGGTGTTTGGAAGGGGTAGCTCGCCACACCTCACCTTACCGCCTTAGTGGGCACTTTGAACCGAAAAGAAACCCATACAGAACTCCAAATAACCTGAATTATTATTTTTATTTGGGTTTCTAGTTCAGTCCTAATTATATTTTAGTTTGGGATATAGATGGGTTCTATCTTTGGCCTCTAAAATCTAAATAACAGATCATGCTTGTATTTATTGCGCTTAGTGCCAAGGTATAAACTGTGAGACCACACTCAAAATTGTTATCTTTTATAGATGTTTGAAACAAACCGGACCGAATGATTTCAAAATTTTGGATATCATTTCTACTGTCCTTTGTAGAATCTTGGTTCTCATTTATTAGAACCCAAATTTCTCAACGACCAAAAAACTTGAAATGACCTAACGATTGGTAGGCCCACAATATTGAAAAATAAGCTAAAATACTGTTCCGGCTGATTGTTGTGAGAGAAAAATACGGTCCCGTCGGAAAACACTGTTCACGTGAACAGTGCTGCTGTGAGTGCGTGACCAGACCAGCCCATCGCTCCACTCAAAAAAAAAAACGTTCATACGCTGTGCAATGTTTGGAATGCAAGACCTTTGACTCGCCTCTTTCACCTGATCAATTTTGAACCTTTTTATCTTCAGTGAATATCTCTTCTTTCGTTACTATAGATATACTACTAGCGCTTCTTAATAATCTTTATATATCTTTTCTTTACATAAAATAAAATATTTCTAATCTAATTAATCAAGCCCTTAATTAGTTTCCTTCGTATGGTCGACTTTATTATTCGCAAATCAGGAGAGGCCCCCCGTTCCGTCAGCTCTCCAAGTGCCTGTTTAGTTTCTAAAATTTTACAAAATTTTTTAAGATTTTCTGTCACATTGAATCTTTGACGCATGTATAAAACATTAAATATAAATAAAAAATAAAACCAATTACACAGTTTAGATAAAATTCACGAGACGAATCTTTTAAGCATAATTAGACTATGATTAGATACTAAGTACCAAATAACAACGAAAATACTACGGTACTATTTTCCAAAAAATTTAGCCAGCTAAACGAGGCCAAGTCGGAGTACGATCGGTCAATCAAATCAAATCGGGCGCAGGGGCAAATGCGTCATTCCATAGGAGCCGCCCACACGCATACGGTTTCTTCTCTTTCTTCTTCCCATTGGCGCTCCCTTCCCGAAACGGCCCGAAAGCCTTGATTCACGGTGACTGCTACGAGGATCTGTGGGCCCGTGTCGGAAAAGGGACCCGCTGGGGGTGGCACACAGAAACCCGCATCCGCCGGTGGGTGGGACCCGCCCGTTCCACCTCTTCCCGTCCAAAGTGGGCGCCATGGAGGGAGGGGGGAAAATTGGGAGGGAAGCCCGGAAGGAAGGAGCCGTGCTCGCCCGCCCAACGGCAAAACCCAAAATTTGAACCCCAAGTCTCCACCACCACTACGACTACCCCACCAACACCAAAACCCCGCCTTCCCCTCCATTTCCATTTCCTCGCCCCACCGATCCGCCATCATTCCCCGTTCCGACCGCGAAACCCTAGCCTGAGCGCCGCCGCCGCCATGCCGGACCTCCCCTGCGACGGCGATGGCGTCTGCATGGTCTGCCGCGCCGCCTCCCCGCCGGAGGTCGACCTCCTCCTCTGCTCCACCTGCGCCACGCCCTGGCACTCCCCGTGCCTCTCCAAGCCCCCCGCCCTCGCCGACGCCGCCAGCTGGAGCTGCCCCGACTGCTCCCCCGACCCCGCCGCCGCCGCCGACCCCGCTCCCTCGGGCCCCGCCAACACCCTCGTCGCCAAAATCCGCGCCATCGAGGCCGACCACACCCTCTCCGACCAGGAGAAGGCGCGCCGCCGCCAGGCCCTCCTCGCCGGAGACGCCCCCGACGACGACGACGACGAAGCGGCCGACGATGCCCTCGAGATCTTCGGCAAGAACTTCAGCTGCGTCTTCTGCATGAAGCTCCCCGAACGACCCGTCACGGTAAAAACAAAACTCTCTCCATCCCTCTCTCCCCATTTTTCTTTTTACATCAGCCGCCGAATCGTCTTCTAGAGTGATGCGCGTGTACTCCCCTAGATCTTATCCCTTCTGGTTCGGCCTGTTCAAATCCCAAGGCTCTGGATGCTCATCCACTGTTTGCCTTTGTGTTTGCTTGCTTGCTTCTTGACCTGTATTCCTGCACTTTCTAGTCCCAGTGCCGCGGCTTTTTTTTTTAATTAAAAATGAAAATAGTTAACCCCCCAAGCCTCCTCTGTATGTTCATGCCATCTATTTTCGTTCTTATTTATTTCAGATATCAACCTGTATCGCTACATTTTTTAGTCCCAGTGGTCCTGCTGTTTTTTTTCCACAAAGATAACAACATAAGATAAATAACCCAACGCACCTTCTCTGTGTTCTTGCGTCTATTTCCGTTTTTTATTATTTATTTATTTCAGATATGCCTATATTGCTATAATTTTGAGTCCCAGTGCTCCTTCTGTCTTTTTAAATAAAATAAAACAAAGTAAAAAAAACTCTTACAATATATTCCCATTTTTATTTTTTATTTGTTCAGATATAAACCTGTATCGATGCACTTTTATTCTGCACTGTATATCCTTGTTTCCCAATCAGATTTTTACCCTTAGTGAAGTATCTGCATAATGTATATTTGTAATGTTCCTTAATTGGTAAGTGTTAGTTTACTGAAACTTACCAGATATCACGGATCATGCATTGTCTGTATGTTTGTAACGGTTTCTGTACGGAGTATGTTTGTAACGGTTTTGCTGTTCTTTAATTGGTAACATAGTGGTAGTCACTTTAGTCTTTACTCTTTAGGAGATGATTGACCATTTCACTCAATAATTGCTTGTGCCAATTCTAATCTCTATATACTTTTCTTTTGCAGACACCCTGTGGCCATAACTTCTGCTTGAAATGCTTCCAGAAGTGGATTCAGAATGGGAAGAGGACCTGCGGGAAATGTCGGGGACAGATCCCGGCCAAAATGGCTGAGCAGCCAAGAATCAACTCTGCGCTAGTTGAAGTTATCAGGATGGCTAAGATTTCAAAGAATCCTAACTCTGCTGGCTCGGCAGTTCCGTATCACTACATACGAAATGATGATAGGCCTGATAAGGCATTTACAACCGACAGGGCTAAGAAGTCTGGAAAAGCAAACGCATCAAGTGGCCAGATCTTTGTGACCATTGCACCTGATCATTTTGGCCCCATTCTTGCAGAAAATGACCCCCGCAGGAATATTGGTGTTCGAGTTGGGGAAACATGGGAGGACCGACTTGAGTGCAGACAATGGGGTGCTCACTTTCCTCATGTGGCTGGTATTGCTGGCCAGTCTACGTATGGTGCTCAGTCAGTAGCTCTTTCAGGAGGGTATGAAGATGACGAAGATCATGGAGAGTGGTTTCTTTACACTGGAAGGTTTACTAATTTAACCACTTGCTGTTCTCCTTACTTTTCATGATTGATCCTACATGTTATCTCCTTATTGAAATGTCTGCAAAATTATTTCTACTAGTGAATTGTCTGCAAAATTATATCTACTAATGCAGTGGTGGGAGGGATCTAAGTGGTAACAAGCGTACAAACAAGGAGCAGTCATCTGATCAGAAATTTGAGAAGCTGAATGCTGCTTTACGCATTAGTTGCTTGAAGGGCTACCCTGTCAGGGTTGTGCGGTATGCTTTCTTTTGATAAATACTTACACATAAAACTGCAATCTTCTGGCGATTTCTGTTTTTTTATATGACTGGGGCCCTGCTCTTGCTTGATAATGTCAATGATGTTTCCTGGTTGTATTTAGTCTTGTCTATCTCTCTGTTTCCTGAATTCTGAAACATTGAGGTTGTTGGGTGTTTTGACAGTTAGTATACACTATGTCCTGCAATTGTTGGACCTTTGTCTCACTATATTGTCTTAATAGGTCGCACAAAGAGAAGCGATCCTCATATGCTCCTGAAAATGGTGTGAGGTATGACGGGGTTTATAGAATTGAGAAGTGCTGGAGGAAGATTGGTATTCAGGTAACTTAGTTCTCCTTTATACAGATTGCAGATGTAGATATAGTTTCATACTACTCCCTCTGTCCACGTATAGTAGGTGCAACTCAAAAAACACCAAGACCAAGGAGCTGATTAATTACCACGTGTTTTTAGGTGACTTCCTTTAATTTCGCCTCCAAATAAATGTGCCCTACGCTTCTCCGTCATGCGCCATTAGCACTCGCCCCCGCATGCATTCTGTTTTGGCTTTCACGCGCTTGTAGTATCCTTCTGTCTAACGTCTAGTGCTAACGGCCAGCTGCATGCGCGAGATCCAAAAAGTCCGAGCATAAATGTTGCATGCAGCCATGCGCAGAGCTGCCTTGTATTCGAGGACAGAAAAATATGGTTACTCCTAGTATACGTGGACGGAGGGAGTATGCAGCTACTTATTAGCTGACAAAGTGAATAAGCATGTGGAAATGTATTTACTCTTCTGTCTTTTTTTTTTGCCACAGGGTAAGTTCAAGGTCTGCAGGTATCTCTTTGTACGCTGTGACAATGAACCAGCTCCTTGGACCAGGTTGGACAAAACACTTAGCCTCATCACTTCTAAACTAGTTCCTGATCTTCAGGAAAAAAATGTGATTCTTCCTGCTGACATCTGTGCTCCGATTTTTAGTGATGATCACGGTGATCGTCCAAGACCCTTGCCAAAGATAAAGGAGCTGCAAGGTGCAACTGATATAACAGAGAGGAAAGGGCATCCTTCATGGGATTATGATGTATGTGCATCTGTTTCTTCTTTCAGTGTTTCTGTACTGTGTTATGGATGGTTTGTATTCATTGTGATAGGAGAAAGATGGCTGGAAATGGATGGTGCCTCCGCCAGTCAGCAAGAAGCCTGTTCTCTCTGGGGATCCTGAGACCGACAAGCAAATCCGGAGAGCAACAAAGCGGGTTCATTTGTCTGTTGCTGAAAGGCTGCTTAAAGGTTCTTGCTCTTCTGTTTGATTTATTATTTACTTCTTAGGTTCCTTTTATGATGTTGCTGTGAAAGTGTGGTCTCAGGATTTGTCTGTGTACCCTGATCCTGCAGAGTTTGGTTGTTCTATCTGCCGGGCGGTGATTAAAGAACCACTTACGACTCCATGTGCTCACAACTTTTGCAAGACTTGTTTGCTTGGGAAATATGATAGCCAGTCCTCTGTGAGGGAAAGAAGCCGTGGTGGTCGGACTCTAAGGGCACAGAAGATTGTGAAGACGTGCCCTTCCTGCCCAACTGACATCTGTGACTTCTTAGAGAATCCCCAGGTGTGTTGAAGTACTGAGTTTGTTGAAGCATATATACTTTAGAGTGCAGAGTTGGTCACATGATATGCTTTTGTTATGTATTTGTTTCAGATCAACCGGGAAATGATGGAGCTGATTGAGACTTTGCAACGCAAGGCTGTTGAAGAAGGCAAGGTGGCTTCGGATGATGCTGAGGAATGTGGTGATGGTGACTCGGAGGAAAATGATGGTGCTTTGGTGAAGGGAGAGGATGATAGCGGCTTGAATGAGGAAGATCAAGACAGTGCAGACGCTGATGCTAATGCTGATGGTTCTGTGAAGATTGTGGTTGAAATCAAGGAGGGAGGAAAAGATGATAAAAAGTCAAAGATGGGCACGACTGAAGTGGTGGATGTGTTAGTTGATGAAGATGCTGCGGAACAGACGAAGAAGTGCAAGGTTGATGAAGATGCTGCGAAACAGACGAAGAAGCGCAAGAGGATGAAGAGCAGTGCTACGGTGGAAGAGGTTGCTGTGTGTGGCACTCCTGTGAAACGGACCAGGAAGAGTGGTGATATGGATGCTGAAGGCGATGGCAGTCCTGCTGTGAGCAGCGGCCGCAGGGTGACCCGGAGCAGCAGTGTGAATGCCACTGGAGCTGATGATAGTCCGGCGAGGAGGACCAGAAGCCGTGCCGGAGCTGATGCTGGTTGCTGAAGGTAGAGGAAGCGTGGTGCGTGGAGCATGGATGCTGATGGTCTGGATGGAAGCAGAAGCCAGCCGTCGAAGCGAGGAGCCGTCTTTTTTTGGGGTGGTTGTACGTAGACTGGGAACCTTGCGTTTTCTTTTGGTTGGGTGGTGCAAGACACTCTTTGCTGTGCAGTGTTGCAGCTGTTTCTTTTGGTTCGGTTTGGTAGACCGATTGCTGCTTCCTGGATGCTAAGCGTTCATCCAAGACCCTTAAAACTATTTAAGACCCATTGGGCGTATAATTCCCGTTTCCTACTTGAATTGAATATCTGTCTATGACTGTTCTATGTCGTACTCTTATGCGCGTGATTTTATCTGATTGAGTGCCGCATCCTACCTGCTTGCTCGTTCACTGGAAATTCTATAATTCACCTTGAATCCCAAATTCTATAGAGGTCCCGAGTCAGTTCTGACCCTGAGATACAGTCAGCTCTGGACTTGGGAGATTGTTTTTTTTTGGGTGGTCGGGGTGGGGTGGATCTTTACAGTCGTTTGTTCTGAGGCGCGTTTAGTTCTCAAAATTTTTTTGGGTTTAGCTACTGTAACACTTTCATTTGTATTTGATAATTAATATCTAATTATGGACTAATTAGGTTTGAAAGTTTCGTCTCATGATTTCTCACCCAACTGTGCAATTAGTTTTTTTTCGTCTACATTTAGTACTTCATGCATATGCCGCAAGATTTAATGTGACATTTTAGGATGAAAATTTTTGGAATCTAAACAGGGCCCAAGTATAGCTTGCTAGATGATGAACGCAGTGGCAGGCAACCATTCAAACAAGGAGGATCAACCAGCACACCAGAATGGCAGAATCTGAGGACTGCAGAAGTTTCACCAAGACAAGGCATCCGAACATTTGCTTGTGCACACCGTGAACACGTGATGTGCACATAAATGAGATCAACCATAGCAAGATGAACCCTAAGGAAAACAACTCAAATTGATGACCATTTTCCAATCCTGGTGAGTTCAACTGTAAAACTTTCAATTTCACCCGCAGAAACACGCCCCTCTTCCTCTCTACCACTTCAGCTCTTCTACATACCTGTAGCCGTTTACAATTGACATAGCTCGCTCAATGGTAGGGCAAAACCAAGGCACGATTTAGGGTGAATCTTCAGCAGGCTCATGCAGAGCAGAATTCTCATTAGTCTGTCACACTCAACAAGTCACTGCCTTGCTGACGAGGACAAAAAAAAGAAGCAAAACTGGGGATGATTTATTACAGGCTCTTCAGCCTCCAGTTAGTGGGCAAATACCGCCTGTCCTCAGTTGGATTGGGAGCCAGCTTCTCTTTAGTTAGGAGAGGTTGATGGACTTCCCTCTTTAGTAGTCTCTGAACCAGTGAGTGGTCTGTTTCTCCCAGACCGAGAACGGACATTGTTACCCACAGGGAATGGCTCCTGATAAGTACGTGTGCAACTCTGTGTCAGTTCACAACACAGCAAATTTTGTTTGTACAAGTTAAGGATTACCGAAAGGTTTGTACAGCTTAACAGCTTAACGTGGGCAGGACTGCTACATGCGTTAATTAAGCCAACGAGAGAATATTACACGTACCTGATCTCCTGCATGTGGACCATCTTTGTGGAAAAGCATAGGACGGCACCATTTCTCTTCATTCATCAGGCTAGAATTCTGAAAATGAGCAATCAAAGCATTCCTTCCCTGGATTCTGGCGTATGCAAGTGATGCCACTTTCTCACTATTGAACTTCTCCCATTTCTTGCCGTTGAATGTCTGAAAAAAAAGTATTCAATCCAGGAGTTAAACTGCATATATTTTCCCTTACTGTGAGGTATCAAGTAAGGCATGGGCACAGCAGTATACCTTGTAAAATGGAATTATGTACTGTGGATCTGTCATATTGATGAAAGCATAGCCCACGTTACATTTGTTCTGAGGAAAGCAAAAGCCGCAAGAGTCAGACCCTATGAATCTCACTACAAGTTCCATCCTTCACACATCGGGGGAAAACTAATAACATACCTTAAAATCAATTGGAAGGTAGATGAAATCATAGGTTCCTCGGTGATTCTCATCAATGACAGCCAAAAGCAGCTTACAGTTGTACCTGTTGATGGCATTGACTATAAGTCTACAGAACAAAAAAGGCCAACCTGATACAATAACCTGGGTGTATGGCATCAAAAGTTGGCATAAGGTGTAAACGTACTTGTTAGGAATGTTTTTTATCATCAGTGTGGTGCGCGAGTCTTCACCCTTAGCTATGCGGTCAAGGTCCAGCTCAAACTGCTTCTTGTTTTCAGACTGGGCAGCATTTCCATCATGCCTGCGGCTCCTTATCCAATCATTAGTGGCATCATATGAGGTGGAAACATGCACCATAGGATTCCTTCCGTTGGCCGCATGAAAAAACTGTTGAATCGATGGAAATCCAGCACTTACGGGGGAGAACATGGTCTCCCTGTAATTTCCTCTGGCAGATGCAAATACAGAGAGATCTGATGGATACAGCTGAGGGCTGCCAGGAAACCCTACACTTTCAAGGGATCCTGGATGAAAAGAGAGTGCATTTGCAAAACCACCAACACTGTTTGGAGCTGAACCCAAGTGATGTTGGTCCATAGGATGGGCAGCAGTGCGCCGCACATGAGGCATAGCAGGGTAACAATGCATATGCACTGGTTGCTGAAAGTTAGACCACAGCATTGGAGCAGAGGGGCTTTGAGGAAAACCATTTGAGTTACTCCAGGTATAGTGATGTCCATGAAGGGGGCAACTTCCAATTCCAGTAACTCTAAATGCTACAAAACAAACAAACAAACGATGAACTTTGAAACAGAATAAAAGAAAGGAGCATAACACAATCTAATTGGCAATAACCCATAAGTATAACATCAGCTAACACATCAACGTTTGTACCCATATACCCGTGCTTGGCAACAGTACATATGTGTAATTAAATCTAGTGGAAATAAAAAAGAGCACCAATTTTACAAATCCATGCTAAACAGGTGAGGGAAAAGACAATTATAAGAAGTTTGCTGAAGAAATTTTACCTTCATTTTGATCAGAGGAATGACCATGAAGGTCACTGTGGTCAACTTTGTGATTATTGTAGTCCATTCCTTCAGTTAATCTGAAGTTAGAATTCCTTGCATTTAATGTCATGGAGTTAGAGCCATTGCAAATACCATTATGGCGCTCTGGCAGTGAGTGTGGGTGGAAGGCTTGCAGTCCACCTCCAAAGTTGCCATGACCAAGCGATCCACTAGGTTCACCAAGAGCAGTTTGATTACTGTGCTGCCGTGTAGATTCAATTCTGATAGGCGATGATAACTTCTGAGGAGCATTCACAGAGAAGCCATGTTGTGATTTATCGTGTTGTGGTCTAACTGGAGAATATAAATTACGAACAGTGCTGCTCTCCCAACTTTTAGGGTCTAACTTCCCTGTTTGACATGTGAAAAGAAAGTGCAGGCTCAAAATTTATGAATACTAGGAAGGGGCGAATAATGTTAGAAATGACTACAACTCATATGTTACATACCAATGGTCCCAAGTGGAGAGTTCTTAAGTTGGTGAGCTACGGCATTTTGCTTCTGTTCTCCAGAACATTGCTCTGTGAAGCTGGTAAGCACAGAGAAAACATGTTACTTCACCACATAAACTGATAGGGTTTGGTGGCTATATAGTATAACTTGCCAACCAGAATGCCTGGGAGTGGAAGTTTAGAATTCAGTTGAAGTTGTACGTTACTCAACCATTAGACATGATAAAAGTACTAGTTATTGGCTATTTGTTTGGTTCTCATGTAAATCCTATTGTTAGAAGGATTTGAGCAAGTTGGTCTCGAATTACTGTGATAGAAGCACCACAAAGGCTACAAGAGAAACTGTGAAAATGTGAAGCAACATTTGTTTTCCTTACACATATAAGCACTTGATTACCTTTTTTGTCCCACTATCCATATATTACTACTTGCAATATCTTTGGAAAATCTGCTAGCGTATTAGTCCCATGTAATGAAGAAAGATGATAGTGTTCGAGAAAAAAAAATGAAAGATGATAGTATACAGTGTATGTATGACAAGATAATTGGTCATTATGAGATGCTACTGGAAATGGTGAAATGATGCCAGCCAAGTTAATTACCAAGATCCTGCTCCTCCAGAACGGCTATGGTCAACCTTGATTTGTGAGCATGACATGTCACCGTTGTTGAGGTCATTCAGCGCTTCTTGTGCTGCTCTGGTATCATAGAATTCTACAAATTTCTTATTGCAGCTTGTAGGAGCATTGTAAATCTATAACCCAAAAGGAAAAGAAGATCGTCAGAATAGTTTGGAACTCGAATTTCACAAAGAATGTTCAGAAATATTACCTCCTTGACATCGCCAGAAAGTTGACTCTTGAAGGACACTTCACGAAATTTGTCGACATTGTTGGAATCATCATGCTCTAGCTCCAAACCTCCTCCAGTGTAGAATATATCTTCATCAGCATCATCCTGGTTAGACAAGCCAGTGTATTCGAAGCCATCAATAATTCCCGATATCAAGTCATCGTCATCGGGAAGGAGATCTCCAATAGTTTGAGCTTCCATTTCTTTCATGGACCCTAGAGGTTCATCTCCCTCACAACCAGAATCATTTGCATCAGCTGATTGACCATAAACGCCACTTGCCATCAATCTTGCTGCTGCAGCGTTGAGGCAAGGGGGGAAAACATTGTCAAGGTAAATAAAGAAACTGGCTAATAGCACATTTTGGACGAAATAATGATGGCACCAGCTCTCCAATCTCTAGTAAGTATTAGTTTCTTGAAAAATGCAAGGGGAACTCACATTTGCTACTGAAGACTTCGGTGTAGGAGCTGGATGAAGGGCAGTCTCTGTAGTCATGCACATGTTGATCAGCACTAGTTGGTTCAACAAAAGCTGTCCCTCCTGTAGACAAGCCAAGACTGGACCTGGAGCTACTGAGGACATCGCCCCAAGAAATTGATGGTATGCCGGGAGCATTTTCTTGTTGGCCCACCAAATTACCCAGGTTAAGCATGCCCAGGTGCCCCTCGAAGGCTTGACCTCGTTGATGTTCCAGACCAGCTGCAGGACTTGAGCCCATGGGATGGACCTTATCAAGTGGAGAAGTGAAAGTAGGCTTGCTCCCTGACATTAACGAACATGAACAAATACACTCAGTTCCTGAAGAGCTGTTCAATCTATTGTCATGTTACAGCCTTCAACAAATGAGTCCGACGATACGTTGATCAAGGCATTTAATTGCTAACTGTGCTCACTGAACCATCCAACTAATTCCTACCTAATGGTCTTGAGCAGAAGTTGTATAAACATTCCAGGATAAGGGATGGCCAGGCTCATTCCCTGCCCAACTGCACCCAAAATGCTTACTAAAAACTGGATGCTGATGAATTAGGCAACCTAGGTGGCATGCATCTAGCAGTCCATATGGGAACTTCCTGGCAAGAGAAAGGGTGAACTAAAACGATACAGCAGACCAGCTAAGTTTCTGGTTTTAGTCAGTCAGTTATTAATAATAAGGCACAAAGAAAAATTAGTCGAGAATCGAGCAGAATATCTGCCCATCCCCGCACAATTTGTAAACATGAATCATGAGCTTATCAGTTGGTATCTGCAGGACGAGCTGGACAAGGCAAGTTAGGTATGTATCATTTTAGGAGATTTAATTTATTTAAGGTACAATAACTCCACTAACTACCAACAGCAAGTATAGAAAGGTCCATACATTTTGCAAGGTTCAATAATACATGAGGAAATGAGAGAGGGAGGGGGAAAAAAGAAGAAAGGCCTAACTGACAGTTTGCATCATGCAAGAAGCAACAATCATATGAAGTGAAATAGCAGCCACGAATTTTTTTTTTTAAATGAAGCATGTTGCGCACCTTTGTGATTGACCATTGACTCTGATGATTTCCAGAATCCAACTTGCCTCTGCGTAAGGAAGACATGGGAGGTAAGGAAAGCATGTAGATGTACTGATTTTGCATAATTAATCTGAGAAGAGAAGGGAAAAAGAGAGAGAAAGAAGCAAGCTAGATTTTTGTTGCTAACCTCAGTGGGGACGAGATCCTGGGAGAAGAATGATGAAGATGGCGATTCTGACAGGGGAGCAAACGGGGACAGGTGGCTCCTGTCAACAGCTCCGGATGCTATCACCATAGGTGCAGGATTACAGGAAGCTCCGTTGTTTTATTTGGCAGGGCTCTAAGTTTGTTGTCTGCGTATGGCACCCCCACCCAGTTTTGTTTGTCGAGGAAACCCAGCCCAACTCAACTCAAAAACTGAAACCGCTGGAGGTTATGGCCCCTCTCGATCTTTAACTGCTTCCTGCTTAAGAAACATCGACGAGGGAATGAGGTGATGAGGAGGAAACATAAAGCCAAAGAAAGTCTCATTCATTTATTACAGGTAGTTATCTCATTGTCATTGATGAATAGACAGCGGGAAATGAAGACAGGTTTTATGGATCGTGGCCATGGAATGGGATTACAGTATTCTTTTAAAGTAAATAATAGTAAGTTAGTAATAATAATATGAGATAATTCATAGATATAGGAGTAAAATTGATTAAGGCAGGGAACGATGTGGAAAGAAAGAAAACATGTGCAGGTAGGGAAAAAGGCAGAGAGGTGAGACGACAAGAAAAGGTTGCTTTTGCTTGCTAGTTTTTCACCATTAATCAGAAGAAGAAAAACAAAAAGGGGGAAAGGTCGCGTCCTGCCTGGCAGAAACTATAGTAAGAGAAAAATACTAATTGGAGGCGGCGGCATCAAATCCCCATTGGTATTGGTATTGGTATTTGGTAAGAGCAGCAAGAGAAGAGGAACTGACCGAAACAAATAAGGGAAGGGAAATCTGGTGCAGTGGTTCTTGAATGCTTTGCTATTGGCTTATGGGCAGCATGAAAGTGGAAGGCCCCCCTCTATTCGCCAACCCCAGATTAATCAGCAGGATGGATGGATGGATGGGTGGATTTGTAAGTAGTAGTATGTCAGAGCGAGGCAGGGTGGTTCCTCTATCTAGTGCTTGCTGATACTAATACTAGTAATAGATAGTGTTGGAACAGCAAGCATGCGCTGCCGTGCCCTGCCCTGACCTCTCGGAGAAGAGAAGGGAGGAGAGGAAAAGAAGAGGAGTACAAGTGGAGAAGGCATTGCTTTGGCGTGAGGCAGGAAGCAGAGACAGAGATGGATGGGATTGGAGTGGAGTGCAGTGTTGGAGAAGGAAGAGATTGAGAATGCAGAGGAGACGAGACAGACAGAGATACCAGGGGAGAAACGGAAATGGAAAATGGGGGGCGGAGGAATGGAGGAGGAGGATAAGCTACGCAGCACGCCTACGCGATTCCAATCCAATCCACCCGGGCCACCGGCGGCCGCCATGCCTAGTTGCCTTGGCTTGGCTTGCATTAATTAATTCTCCCGCACCGCAAGCAAAGCAAGCCCCCCAAATGGCCAAATCACCTTCAGCTTCAGATTGATTGGCTTGGGGAAGCAGCAGCAGATGGCAGATGGCAGATGGCTTGCCGCCGCACGCAAACGCAACGCCGGGGAAAACGGCCGCCGTCACGCAAACAGCAGCAGCAAGTAATAAAATCAGTTGTGCTTGTTACTGGACTTTGGATTCACGGATCGGAGAGGGGGAGGAGGAGGAGTAGAGCATCTCTATCTTACGATGGAAGAATAGATCCACAAACTCCTCCTCCTCCTCCCTCCTCCTAGGTAGAGTTAGAGAAAGAGAGCAAGCAGCAGCAGGAAGAATAGCAGACAGATGCATGTAGGAGTATGCCATTGCCGTACCTCTATAGGTCGCCTGTACTGTAGGAGTACGATGCGATGGAAATGGCAATGCAACACGCTGCTGCTTCCTCGTCGGGGGCGAGTGGCGAGGGCAGGGGGTCGCCGGCCGGAGCCCGAGGAGATAGGAAAGAGTACAGGAGAAGACGAGGAGTAGTCCGTCGTCGTACAGACGGACGTAGCTATACTCCCGAGTCCCGACTCGACTCCCGTTGGGTTTCGTTGGGCGGGGTCGGGAACAATAATGGCTGGCTGGCTGGATGCTGGATGGACGCAGAGCCACCAGGCACAGAAGCACGACGAGGAGGAGGAGGGAGGGAGGGAGGGAGAGGGGGGAAGAGTCCAACACACCAGAACAGATGATGATGACAAGAACCAGAACAAGGAAGAGGAATCAATTATTAGGAAGAAGAAAAAAAGAGGAGTACATTTATTTATTAGTTTATTTATTTACAAATGAGATTAGTGCTCGTCTCTTCTCCTAATATCAATATATAATCCTCTCTCCTTCCTGGAGGCTGGAGCATGCATGGAGGTCCTTGATTCCACCTGTTCCTGATGGCGCGCGAGAAACACGAGGGAGGGGAGAATTGCAATTGGATGCTCATCGGCCCACTCTGCCGTTGCCTCTTCAAAAATCCCTTTGATTTTCTTTATTCTATTTACTCTATCCATGGTATTATCAGGCTCTTCTTCTTCTTCTCTCCGTAATATTGACACGTTTTGGTTCCCCGCCACAAATTGTCACACAAATTTGCTAAAGCCAAGTGCTCCTAATATTTACCACACTCTACTGAGAATACTCGAATAGAATCCTGTCACTCTCGTCACACGCTGTAACAGATGGTAAGTGGTGGTAAGTTCTGTCTAGCAACCAAACACCTCCTACTCACTCCACATTAATCATGGCGAAGGTGCTTGTGATGTATTTTACATTATAGCCATTTAGAATCATCATACTATTTATTCTTTGTAAATGTAATTAAATTAGCAATAAAAAATGACTTCGATAGGGCTTGTTCGTTTCGCTAAAATTTGGCTTATGTTGAAATGTTGTGAGAGAAAAACATTGTTTGGACGTGGAAAAATACTATTGAAGTCGTGGAGCAGAATTTTAAAAAAAAATACATCTCTTCGGTTTTGAATTTTTGATACGGAGGAGGAGGGAGCAACCAAAGAGGCAGGCAGGAGGAAGGGCCAAGTGCAAGGGCACTCAACCTCTATCTATCTATTGCCTTCGCGCTCCTCGCATCCGTCCTATGCTTAGGGGCCTTTGGAGAGAGCTTCAACTTTTAGCTTTTACGAAGAGAATCACTCTCAACCAGTAAAACGCTCGTAATGCCAACTGATCCAGGTGGGCATCAACAGATAATCACTTCTCTATTTACACTGGGAGCTAAAAAAACATGCTTCAATCTGCTCCCTGTTATATTCCGGTGGGAATCAGCAGATAATCAATTCTTATTAGCTCCCCACCTTGCTCCCTCCTAGGAATCCAATGGAATCACTCTATCGAAAAAACAAGGAGCGGATCTGAAGAAGAATCAGGGAGCGGAACTCTCCCAAACAGGGCCTTAACTTTCACCGCCCCTCCTCTTCTTCTCGACTTGTATTTTTTTAAAATATATATACACTTAATCCAGTATGTACCGGTACTAGTTTTTTAAGAGTTATTTTTATTCATACCATTATAATTTTGCAAGTTTGGAGATACGCCATCACAATTTGTCTATTTAGAGAACTGCCATTATAATTCCACCTCTCCCTCATCCATGCCATTTTATACGTCTAGCTCGTATATGGACCCGCTGTCAGGACGTATGCATACAAGGAAGACATATGGTCGTTATGTCTCCGTCTCAGTTAGAACAAGCCCGCCCGCGGCGGCCAGAGCGTGAACGGAGCGGCGGCGCGAGCCCGGACCGCGGACTTAGCGGAGTGGTCGGACCATGACTGCGCCAGCACCGTGTGCCCCTACGCCACCAGCATGCTCTCTAGGAGCTCACGCTCGCCTACCACCTGGCCATCGGCGACGCGGCGCTGGGGCTCCACGCCCGCGCCCCGTGGAGTTCACGCTCCACCGGGTCGCCGGCGACGCTTACGCGAGCACCGACCGCATCGCCGCAGCCTAGGGTGCGCGCTTCGAGGTGCGTGGCGCGGCAGCCGAGGAGGAGGTCGCGGCGGGCGTCTTCTTCGGTTGGCCGTGGCGAGGAGGCCGACGCCGAGGCACACGGCCCACACGCCCATCTCCTCGCCCACCTCGCTTTTTCTAACTGAGGAGACGGAGACTTAACGCTCGTACGTCTTACCGTATGCATAAGGCCTGACAGTGGATCCATGTCCGAGCGAGACGTATAAAATGGCACGGATGAGCGAGGAGCGAAATTATAATGACAGTTCTCTAAATAGACGAATTGTAATAGCGTATCTCTAAACTTGTAAAATTATAATGGCATGAATCAAAATAATCTTTTTTTTTCTTCTATTTGTATCTATGTTTTGATTTGTTTATAATCCCAGAGATGATGTTTTATTATGGATATCTTGTCGTGCAAAACAAAGCAAGCAATGGTTGGTGTCGCTCTCCCACGTTCGCAAGCAACTCCTATCCTGAAGAACAAAAGGAAATCCAACTAGTGGGACGTGAGCCCAATCGGTTTCGAATCGCTCCCAAAATATATATATATATAAGTTTTCCCTCCCGGTTCCGGCAATGGAATGGAATGGAATATGCTCTGCTCCGTCCGTCTCGTGAAGCAAGACATTCCAAAATTCATCTGTATGGATGGATACTGTACACTTTATTTTAGTGGTATATGTACTTGACTATTTTGCTTCGTCACTAGTGTGTGCGCGCTACAAATCCTACTGTATTTTTCTTTCTTTATATAATGGATGGAAATGGAGAAAGAAAAAAAAAGGATAGGAGATGAGACGGCTGAAAGTTGGAACAGTGTCATTGTTAATTAATGTAGTATACTCTGTATGCTAACAAAAATGTAGTATACTCCGTATGTATGTACCACACAAAATTCGAGTCAAAAAGGTACGTACGTAATAGCTCTTGCAGTCTTGCTTGGTACGTACATAATACTGGCAGGCATATGACTCTGCTGACCCTACATTTCCTTTCTTCCCGTGGATCCGTGTCGCTCAGCTCCATGGACTACTTGGAGCAGGAAATGTAGTACTCCCTCCTGTTTCTAAAAGATGTTGTTTTGTACAAGTCCTGGGTCAAATATTAAGAATATAAATCACAAATAACTTTTAAATTGTTGAGTTTGAAAATATGAAAACCATATGAATACATTTGTTCTGAAATATACTTTAAAAAAAATATACATATATCATTTTTCAATAAAT